AATATTGCACAGAAAATGGCTTCTCTGGAATTCCTAGCCCTTAGTGGTAGAAGATGTGCTGACGTTAATCCTTAGCAGCCTGAGCCATGTGTCTCCCAAAACTCCCCTCAGATTAGAGGTCCTCCTTTATGGGAATGGTTTGTGCATGGTTTCTACTCTTTGGAATTCCCTCTTCAGCAGGGGTCATTTCGTAGAAAAAGAGGTGCAGGAGCTCATTTGCATAGCCCATTTGCATATGCCACACCCTCTGACAAAGGGCAGGCATGCAAGCATGCCTGGGTTCCCTGCCTGATCTTCTAAGCTGGGGAAGGGAAAGAAAGGCATTTAAATCCCCCCCCCCATTTCCCTGAGTTTCTCTGCCGAAGTGGAGAGGCTCAGGGGAAAGGGGGGCATGTCTACCCACCTCCCCTTTCCCTCCCCAGCCAACCTGCTGCGGCGGGCTTGCTGGAGAAGGCAAGGGCAGGGCAGGGAGGCAGACATGCCTGAGTTCCCTGCCCCAGGCATGTTTAAAATGCCTTTCTTTCCCTTCCCCAGAAAGGCATTTAAATCCCCCTAGGCGGGGGGTGCCCCAGGCCCCTTACTGCCAGAGCGCTGCTCTTCAGTAGACCCAGTCCCCAGTTCTCTGGCCAGAAGGTGAAGGCTTTTCCTGGGTTTTAATAAGGTGATGCCATAATTTCCTAAACGTTTTTCCCCAGTATAGTTAATCTACATTTAACCATATTTTCATTATATTTCTTAATTTTCAAAATTCTTTTTTTTGGGGGGGGGGGGATTGGTACTTTGTTGAAGCAAATATATACCTAACTAATAAGTGATGATGAACTAGTCATTACTTTGTGTTCTGTGGTCAGCGTGCTGCCTTTAATAGAAGCAAAATTAGGCTGGGGGGGAGGGATTGAGGAGTGTTGTGTTGCTAGAGATTTATATCCCAGCTTGCTCCTTTAGGTAGCAAAGCAGATTCCAAAATAATTTTTAACAAATTTGTTTTCAACCTCAGCACAAGCAGCCTTTTATGCCTGTGCGAGAACAGACTCTCTTCTGCTTGATACTCTACTTGATACTCTAAAGCACATACGCAGCAGCAGCAGATTTATTTGTAAAGTACAACCATTGGTAGGGAGATGATTAGATATTTTCTTTGTTTGGATCATTTTCCTTTGAACAATTTTATTTAATTGTTTACTTGGTAATACTTTAATACCAAAATATTTATAGCCCTCAAGTGATGTTTATATGAGTTTCTATGGGAAATTCATTCTTACCTGTTCGGGCTCGCCCTTGCCCGGCCTGTGGGGCAACAGAAGTGATATTCAGAGGGCTCTTTCCCCTGCAACACGCAAGAAGTGGACCCAGGGGGCTTACCCATGCCCAGGAAACATCACCCTGGTACCTG